GGGTCGTAGAATAACAATTATGGTATAGTTTTATAAAGGAGGGGATTACTTGTTTTATAGATGGGGTCGTAGAATAACAATTATGGTATAGTTTTATAAAGGAGGGGATTACTTGTTTTATAGATGAGGTCGTAGAATAACAATTATGGTAATATAGTTTTGTAAAGGAGGGGATTACTTGTTTTATAGATGGGGTCGTAGAATAACAATTATGGTAATATAATTTTATAAAGGAGGGGATTACTTGTTTTATAGATGAGGTCATATAATAACAATTATGGTAATATAGTTTTATAAAGGAGGGGATTACTTGTTCTATAGATGGGGTCGTAGAATAACAATTATGGTAATATAATTTTATAAAGGATGGGATTACTTGTTTTATAGATGAGGTCATATAATAACAATTATGGTAATATAGTTTTATAAAGGAGGGGATTACTTGTTTTATAGATGGGGTCGTAGAATAACAATTACGGTAATATAATTTTATAAAGGAGGGGATTACTTGTTTTATAGATGAGGTCGTAGAATAACAAGGGGATTACTTGTTTTATAGATGGGATCATAGAATAACAATTATGGTAATATAGTTTTATAAAGGAGGGGATTACTTGTTCTATAGATGAGGGTCGTAGAATAACAATTATGGTAATATAATTTTATAAAGGATGGGATTACTTGTTCTATAGATGGGGTCATAGAATAACAATTATGGTAATAATTTGTAGTTCTGCCCTACTGTTTCTGATCAAGTAGTATTTGTAGCTCTGCCCTACTGTTTCTGATCAAGTAGTATTTGTAGCTCTGCCCTACTGTTTCTGATCAAGTAGCATTTGTAGCTCTGTCCTACTTTTTCTGATCAAGTACTATTTGTAGCTCTGCCCTACTGTTTCTGATCAAGTACCATTTGTAGATTTTCCCTACTGTTTCTGATTTTGGACTTTTGAACTTCACATTGGAACATTCGACCGCATTTTTCGAACTTGTACACAGGCTGTTGTAATCAAAACTATATTCTGTCGTATCCTGCACGAATTAAAAAAACCTACCAATCTTCTGGCCTGAACCACAACAATGAAACTCCCATCAACACTCGGGGTATATCTACACCACGTTATGGCCTTGAGCAAAGGGCAAACGATTCACGACAAGAAATATCTCGACCAACGCTTCAGTTGTAATGAATACCCTACGTATGGTTAACAGGTGAGTAGTTTTATTAATACGAAGTGAATCAAACGAACCAAAGATATTTTAATGATCTACTTCCTGGTATCGTCCAAGTATTGTTAAAATGTTGTCAGTTCTGAGGGATGGCTACATTCTTCACAAAAGTAATAATAATTAGTATTATTTCCACACCTCAGAACGCGTGCGTACGATACAAACCAGTAATTTAAACTATTTATTTAATTATATCTACTAATCACCTCTCGGCATGTAACATGGTTGGTTATAAAAGTCAGTGGAAACTTAATAATTTCGCAAAAACATCTTTAAAAAAGGATATTACAACAAGCCATGTGTGTATGCCATAAATAAAAGGAAGACATGCCCATTAATTCTGTAGCTAGCTTCTTAATTTTATGTTGATATATCGCATATTGCGACTGACATCGTTGCGACAATGCAACCACATTTGTTTACATCAGATAATACCATTACTTCCCGAATTTCACCCGGAGGATTGGGATGTAAATATACCAGTAACGGGCATAGCTAAGATGAAAAATAATAGGGACAAAATTTCCTTGACTGTTCCAGGTTTTAAATAACTGTTTTGGATTTTCTCCGACTTTTCCAAATTCGTGGCCACCCTATTCTAAAATTTAGGTTTTTAGTATTAATAATATGCCAACATAAACGATTAAAAAACAGCTAATTTACGGCGTTAAGTTAAAACCGCGACAACCACATCCGTTATATTTGAAATAAGTTGATGCCAAAAAAAGGTTCTGAGCCATAATGCGTATCAAATCAATATTGTTAGCGCATAAATTGTGGAATTAATCATTCGCTAACGTACACCTTAAATGACGTGTACTCATTCGCTCAGTTCAATATAATAACAATATTTTATTTAGTTTAAATCTACGGCGACCCAGACGAGGATCCATCCAAACGCATTACAAGGTTCATTACTCCAGTTACATGTTGAAACTACATTTCTAAACAGCACCACGTTTTTAAAGGAACCAATACAGAGGAGAAAGGGGTGTCAGTCGTTCTCTCACCCTCACCGAGCATCACCTTATTATATCCTACACACACTCGTACGTCGTTGTTTTCGTCTAAAGTAAACTATCTTTTATCAAACTATGACAAACGTTTAACAAAAATCACGCTGATTACGTTTATAAGAAAAGTTTGACTTTTTAAAAACTTACGAAACCAACAATGGTCTCCATTCCGCTTCAAGTCAATTACATCCGGTTTACACTACCACTACACAAGGGAGACTGTATGATATTTTTTTTTCTTCCCTCGAGCAAGTTATGAACTCGAGGTCTCTATGCAAGTGTCTATCAACTACACGAGATGAAAGATTCACGAAGAGAGGTGTGGGCGTAGAAACTGTAGGGGTCGCATATTTAAAAAAAAAAAGTGAATTCAAATAAAATGACGTGTTTTAATGATGAAGGAGTCCTGGTTTTTCAGTTCATCCAACAACTAACATGAAAACAGATAAAATTAAAATCAAGCAGAGCCAAGAAAGTCCATGTATATGACAGTATCCAATTAGCATCTTTTTTAAATTTAATTTTACTTTAACAAGTAAACCTATAGCGTATTTCAAAATATAAATAAATAATGTAGTATAAAATATACACAGCTATAATCGGTATGGGGTTCTATTACAAACAAGAAATCCTTGAAATTCATAAAAGGGTTTAACTTTTAGTGGGGATAAACACATAAAATTTCAATGTTATTTTTTCCAGTATTTCAAGGAGTGGAGGGCGATCATAATGCGTAACGATCGAGGCTTTCTGCGTGGTGACAGACTTTTGCGAATTCTGTCCAGAGTACGTACATACAGTATAGTAAAAAAAAAGTTTTTTTTATTGGTTCCCGGTTCATGTAGCTATCTAATTCATAATTCCATGTAAGTTAAATCTTGATTCATATAACTCCAATATAGAACAAGTAATCCCCTCCTTTATAAAACTAACTACTTGATCAGAAACAGTAGGGCAGAACTACAAATACTACTTGATCAGAAACAGTAGGGCAGAACTACAAATACTACATGATCAAAAATTAGGGAAGAGCTACAAATACTACTTGATCAAAAAATAGGGAAGAGCTACAAATACTACTTGATCAGAAAAAATAGGGAAGAGCTACAAATAGTACTTGATCAGAAAAAGTAGGACAGAGCTACAAATACCACTTGATCAGAAACAGTAGGGCAGAACTACAAAC